TTGGATTGTTGTGTATGAGAGGGGTGAGCTGAACAGATAAGAGTGGTGGTTGGTGAATGAGGTATTTGTAATGGAGACTATGGAGGGATTGCAGTTATTGGTAAAGGCGAGGTCAAGGGTTTGACCAAAAGAATGAGTGGCTGATGGAGGGTGGAAAACCAGATCATTGGAGGAGAGGAGTTAATGAACTGAGGCTGTTAATAGGTGATTCATCTATGAACATATTGAACCAAGAATTATGACAGGAGTTGTAAAAGAGGGTGAAAGTTAGCCAACGTCTGAAATCCTCAAAGAGTGGGAGCAAGTGATCTGATGGTCAGTAAATGACAAAAGAAGTTGAATGATCTGAAATGCAAAAGCTGAAACTTCTAGTGAGAAGGGAGAGATAATAATAGTCTGGGAGGAGCACTGAGGAGCAAAATTTCTTATCCTCCTCCAAGTATAATGATATTGAGGTGTGTGAGAAATACTCAGAGATCTACAAGGGGAGGCAGTCTGTCAAAAAAAAAGAGGATTGAGGATCACAGTCATAAAAAAAACCCAATAGAATGTTTTTGTCAGGAAGTAGTCTTGGCCTCAGGTTCTTTCATTACATATCGGAAAACTGGTGTATTAAGGCACTTTGGGGACTTGTTTACTTGAAATCACGAGTCTAAGAAAATTAAGTTCAATTTAAGTCTATCACTAGCCCAGTATTATAAAAGATTTTTAAATTCACTTTGATCTTAGCTACATAATCGGTGGCACTGTTAAATATCCAGACTTACAAAAGCTTTAAAAGTGAGTACAGTCTATACTTAGTTACTTTGTTTCTTTTTCTTTTCAGTGCTGTTAGCATAAAATTCATCTTGTCTATATTGCAAATTCCCAGATAAATGCAGTTTTTACTTTTTCTACTTTACCAACACAATGGTCAGAATCTTAGAAATTGCTATTTTCATCAATAGAGTCGTTATAGTGAGATGGATAGTTTTATTCATGTACTACTACATGAAGTAATGCTTAGTTTGAGAGAGGGAGTAAACATCTTTAGCATGTGTATTATATCATGTTTTTCCATCTGCTCTTTTTCAGTTTTCCTGGCTGTTACTATTTTTCTCATAAGAGCTCTAAATTTGGTTTGCTTGGTTAATTTTTTCTCTCCCCCTACCCCCTTGAGATTGGATTAAATATATAAATTCGGGGAAGGTTGAAATCTCTAGTGTTACTATTCTCTATGGTAAAATCTCATTCTGTTTGTTGAGTCTTATGTTTTTCAATGATATTTTAAAAGTTGCCTCACATTTGTATGTGTCTTGTTAAGTTGATTCCTAGATCATTTCTTTTTTGTGTGATGATGGAAGATGGTGTTTTTTCACTAATTCCAGATAATCATATCGGAATATAGGGATAATTTAAGTCCTCCTATCTTTTTTTTTAAATTTTAAGTTCTTTATTGTTTAAAGTATTACATAAATCTCCTTTTTCCCCCATTGACCGCTCCCCAGCCTCTCCTACCCCCCAGCACATGCCCTCACCCCGCTCCGGTCGCTCCGGTCTGTGTCCATTGGTTATGCTCATGTGCATGCATACAAGCCTTTTGGTTGGTCTCCTATCTAACTTTTATGCCTGACTTATTTCTCAATTAATTACATTGATTATGCCATAATTTTGTTAATTTCTCTTTAACAGAAGAGCTGGATATTCCTACCTAGAATTATGGCAGATAAATTAACAAGAATTGCTATTGTCAACCATGACAAATGTAAACCTAAGAAATGTCGGCAAGAGTGCAAAAAGAGTTGTCCTGTGGTTCGAATGGGTAAGCTATTCCATGGATCATTTAAAGATTAAGAGATTTTAAAAGGAACAAGTTGGCTTCATAGTTGTCTAGACTTTTGCCATTAGTTTCTTTGAAATGTAAAGAGACCAGATTTTGTTCTGAATTTTTTATTGTTTTATGACTACATGATTCTGTTTCTTTTAAATTATAGGATAATGTATTAGTATCAGTATTTTTAAAAGTTTACTGAATATGAAGTCAAACCAGAGTTCAAGTTACTGATATTCTTACTGTTCTACAAAATCCTGTAATTATTCTAAGTCATGGAGAAAGGATTGCCCATATGTTTGTATTTGATAATATTCTCACTTTAAAGAGCTTAATAAGAATCACTGTTCATGAGATTGTGCTATATTTTCAAGATAAAATAAATTTACAGCAATTCAGAATGGATGAATTGTTTGTAATCTTTAGAACTGTGTTAAAGTAATTGTAACTTTAAATGTACTGATGAGGTACAGTGGGGCCTTGACTTATGAGTTTAATTCGTTCCATGACGGAGCTCGTAACTCAAATTACTCGTATGTCAAATCAATTTTCACCATTACAATGACACGTGATGCTGGGCTGATGTTGTGGCGTTCACTGTGACGTTCGCTGCACCAACTCTCGGTGGGGTATCTGAAGCTGGCTCGTAACCCGAATTTTAGCTCGCAACTCAAAGCAAAAAATCGGCCGAGAGACAGCTCGTATCTCGTAAAACTCGTTAGTCGGGACACTCGTAAGTCAAGGCCCCACTGTATAAGCTTACTGAATCTTAAAAGAGACTTTAGATGTCATCTATTATAGTCTTCCATGCTGTTCAGAAAATCCATTATTAATATTCCTGTTTATATGCCAAGTTTAATTTTGTCTGTATATTAGATAACTACTTAACTTTTTAGAATTTCACTGATCTAGCTAACTTATTTCATTCTTTTCTCTGGTATACATTACCATTTGCAAGGCATATTTTGTGAATTAAATATTTAGGTTAGTCAGCTTAAAAATAAAACTTTTAGGATCTGCCACAATTTTACCAGCATATTTTCTTCCCCTGTAGTAAATTAAACAAAATAAATATATTAGAGTCATCTCCCTCTTGCCTCATAAGAGTATTTTTCTTTTGCCAGGAAAACTATGCATTGAGGTTACACCCCAGTGCAAAATAGTTTGGATTTCTGAAACTCTTTGTATTGGCTGTGGTATTTGTATTAAGGTAAGTGATATTTTATTTACCGAATCAAATTTATAACCTGAAAATGAAATCTGAAAATTCTGAATATATTATAATTGTTTTTAAAGAGGCAAAATATAAAGCAGTGAATAAAGAGTATAAATTTTGTACTTATATCAATAATCTAATATTATTGATTTGTAATTAGGCCAAATTTTTATTTAAAAGTTATCCTCCCTATACTCAATTTCGTAAAGCCATTTCCAACCAAATATATATATATATATTTTCCACCTTTTTATGAGAAGGATATTCTTCACCAGAACTGTTTGGAAATATGAATTCTAAAAATATGAGTTATATAACATACATTTTTTCAAGTCCATATAACTTTAAATTTGCAACTGTGGGGGTGGGGAAGTTAATCCTCACCCGAGGATATTTTTCCATTGATTTTTAGAGAGAGTGGAAAGGAGAGATAAAGAGAAACATCAACATTAATGTGAGAGAGACACATTGATTGGTTGCCTCCTGCACATGCCCTGACCAGGACCAGGGATCGAGCCTGCAACTGAGGTAGGTATGTGCCCTTGACCAGAATCAAACCCAGGACCCTTCACTCTGAGAGCCAAAACTCTATCCACTGAGCAAAACTGGCTAGACCTAAATTTGCAGCTTTTAAATAGAAGTGCATATGGCCAAAATTTTTCAATTTAACCTAATCTTTAAGTGCTTTTTCTGCTGTATTGTACATTCTTCTCGTTGAATTTATTCCATTAGTATAATTTTTCAAAACACCCCAAATTAGTTTTTGTTGCATTGAAAAGTTTAAGGCTTTTGACTTAAGAATTATGAATTTCCAACTTAAATTCATGAAAGATAATTAGGAGCCAGTTCACGAAGTTCTTAATTTAGGTGTTTTTATTCGTAGATAATGCATTTTAGAAAGGACCTTTACCAGAGTATGGATACCACCCTGTTACTTATTCTAATAAGCTTCATGTGTATTCTGCATTGGCTTCCAGAAAGAAAATACCTGAAAGAAGGTATTTCCCTTATTTTGAAAATATAAACAGGAAATATTTCTTCCAGCAAATACTCTTATATACCAATGTTCTCTGGTGCTGGAAATCTGATTTTGAGCAATATATTTTTAATTCTATAAAGAAAGAACTTTATTTTCTTTTTTCACTGCTGTAGGAAAATGAGGTTCCAAAATTTGGGGTATGCACTTCAGTGACTGAAAAGATACTACTGTGATGTCTATTTTGGGGGTGAGGATAGTATATACCCGAAAATTAAAATGCTTATAATTCACTTCATATATGAACACTATGGATATTTTTTCCCTTGTAGATTTAGAGAAGTTTAAATTACTTTAGCCTATAAGTATTTTATGTACACTGATGGAATAAAAAGAATTCTGTAAATGAGGGTAACTTGATTGGCAGAGAAATATCTCATGTAAAGAATTAATAGTTTTGTTTAGAGGGTAGTAAGTATTTATTTAGAAAGCAAAAGTTTTATTTGTTTAATTATCTATGTTCTTATAACATATAATGAGAACTCACTGAAATTTTTCTATACAGGGACTTTGAATTGGTCCCTGAGCTCACTGAACAGTTCTTCTGCTAAACAAATCTCAAATGTGAGATTATACTCTGGGATGTACCTTTTTGAAGTTAGCTGTACTTCTGATAAGTTCCTCTAGCCACATTACCACTCTTTTTATATATTAATTTCAGAGAGGAAAGGAGGGGGAGAGAGAGGTAGAAACATCAATGATGAGAATCATTGGTTGGCTGCCTCTTACACACCCCACACTGGGGATAGGGAATGTGCCCGGATGGGGAATCAGACCCTGACCTCCTGGTTCATAGGTCGACACTCAACCACTGAGCCACGCTGGCAGGACCACATTACCACTCTTAAATTAACCTCCAGTTCTTGCCATTCTTGTTTCATAGCCATTTATCTGATTACTAGTCAAGTATTATTTGAGTAAGGTTTTTTATGAATAAATCTTTTTTTATGTGAATTTACTCAGAATAAGAAACTTTATTTTCATATGGAAAGTTAAAAAACCACAGCAGAAAGACATTAATCCTTGCTCTATCCAAATGTTATGCTAGCTGTTGTTGGGACATAAATAGACAAAAAAGGTATAATCCATGACCTTAAAGGACTTAAGGTAGAAACAGATGTATACAAAGACAGGAAGAAGGAAGTAGAGGGAAGGAATCTGTCATAGGCTGAATATGCAGTTGTATAGTACTCAATAACCATGTTTTATCTTGCCTTCTTTTATCTAATAACTAGAGGCCCCGGTGCACAAAAATTTGTGCCCTCGGGGGGGGGGGAGGGAGTGGGGGTCCCTCAGCCCGGCCAGTGCCCTCTCGCAGTCTGGGACCCCTCGGGAGATAACGACCTGCTGGCTTAGGCCTGCTCCCAGGTGGCAGAGGGCAGGCCCAATCCCTAGGTGCAGCCCTGGTCGGGCTCAGAGCAGGGCTTATTGGGGAGTTGGGGCGCCACCCCGTCATGCACAGAGCGGGGCGGATCGGGAGGTTGTGATGCCACCCTCAGTCACGCTCAGGGTAGGGCCAATTGGGGGGTTGGGGCACCGTCCCCTGTCACACTCAAGGCAGGGTCGATGGGGAGGTTGCGGCGCCACCCCCTGTCACTCACAGAGCAGGGCCCATCAGGGGGGTTGGGGCTCCGTACCCTGTCACGCACAGAGCAGGGTCGATCAGGGGGTTGGGGAGCTCCCCCCTGTCACGCACAGAGCGGGGCTGATCAGGGGGTTGAGGAGCTCCCCCCTGTCACTCACAGAGTAGGGCGGATCAAGGGGTTGGGGCACCGCACCCTGTCATACTCAGGGCAGGGCCAATGGGGAGGTTATGGCTCTACCCCGTCACACACAGAGCAGGGCCGATCGGGGGTTGGGGCGCCGCACCCTGTCACACACAGAGCAGGGCGGATCAGGGGGTTGGGGCACCGCACCCTGTCATACTCAGGGCAGGGCCAATGGGGAGGTTATGGCTCTACCCCGTCACACACAGAGCAGGGCCGATCGGGGGTTGGGGCGCCGCACCCTGTCACACACAGAGCTGCAGGGCGATCATGGGGTTTGGGCGCTGCCCCCTGTCACGCTGATCCCGGTGCCGGGAGGCCTCGCGGCTCCGCTGATCCCGGTGCTGGGAGGCATATTACCCTTTTACTATATAGGATAGAGGCCTGGTGCACGGGTGGGGGCTGGCTGGTTTGCCCTGAAGGGTATCCTGGATCAGGGTGGGGGTCCCGCTTGGGTGCCTGGCCAGCCTGGGTGAGGGGCTGATGGCTGTTTGCAGCTGGTCACACCCCTTCAGGGTGGGGGTCCCCACTGGGTTGCCTGGCCAGTCTGGGTGAGGGGCTGAGGGCTGTTGTCAGGCTGGCGGGTGACTGAAGCTCCCAACCTGTCCTTTTTTTCTTTTTTTTTTATTCTGGGCCAGCTTTAGCTCAGAGGCTTGGCTCCAGCTCTGAGGCCTCGGCTGCTGAAAGCGGGTATCTGGTTTGTTTGGGTTCTATAATCGAAACACTGTTTCAACTCCAGCTCTGAGATCCCGGCTGGCTGAAAGCAGTTTTCTGGGGTTTTGTTTAGCTTCTATATTTGTAACAATGTTTCAAACTGCAAGCTCAGAGGCTGGCAGCGGCAGGTGGGGAACATTGGCTTCCTCCGTCACTGAAGCAAGCAAGCCTCCTGTTAGCTTCAAGCTGCCTGGCTGCTGGCCGCCATCTTGGCTGGCAGTTAATTTGCATATCGCCCTGATTAGCCAATGGGAAGGGTAGCGGAGGTACGGCTAATTACCATGTCTTTCTTTTATTAGATAGGATGTAAACAAATGCGCACAAAACTTCCAAGTTCTGTAGTTTTTCAGTAATTATTAAATGAACATTAAATATCTAAGATTATGGCAGTCACTAAGGGTAATGCGAAATTAGTTTGCCTTCTAGAAACTTTTAAGGAAATAAAAGTAAATGAAAAATATTTTACATCTTTGGGCAACTCCATGTTGAGAAGATTGCTTATAAAAACTACTTAATCTTTCCATTTTAGTCAACTGTTTATTTGTAAAAATTAACACAAAATTACTTCTTTACTTTAAATAACAGAAATGCCCCTTTGGCGCCTTATCAATTGTCAATTTACCAAGCAACTTGGAAAAAGAAACAACACATCGATATTGTGCCAATGCCTTCAAACTTCACAGGTATATTTTCAAGTAAACTTTCTTCTTCGGTAAAATGCATTTGGAATTTTCAGAGATATGCAAGACTGGGAAAAAACTGTATTATCCATGCACTAAAGAGAAATACAATATTGTAACATCACAGGGAATCATATTATATATGTCAGTTGTTTATTCTGGCTAGCATTAGAGTTACCTGGGGCTCTTTTTAAAACTAATGCCCAGGTTTCAGCCCAATTGAGTTACGTCCTATCTCTGGGTGAAAAGTCTGGACCTCAGTAAGTTGTAAAAGCTCCAAGATTATTCTAATATATAACTGAGGTTGAGAATCACTATTGTAAATAAACCTGTATTCCCAGAATGACTTTTAAGGAAACTTGTCCTTGATTTTATTTATTGATTTCATGATCAACAGAGAATATTACTCCCAACTTGGACATATATTATTAAATTACAGGAGTCCTTTGAGGGTTTTTATCTGCTAAACACTGATATTTTTAATCTGGAAGTCTAGATTTAACTAATAAAAAGGTATTTCTCAACCTGCCAGCTTTAAGGGGCCTCCTGCAGCAGGGAGAATGAAGTGGAATATTTCTGGTTGATGTGGCACTTCTCCCTTGTAAGTAAGTGGCAGGAAAACAACAACAACAAAAACAACAGTGTGAGGTTGCACCTGCTATGATATTTTTTACCGAAGCATTTTTTTATACATTAAAACTGAGCCTTATATGCAAAGAATAATTGTTACTTTAGTACAGACTTTGAATAAATAAAACTTGGAGTAATATTGCCATAGATGCATTTCTAACAATTAACAGTTTAAGTTGATCTTGGCTGGGGTTTTTTCTAATAGCCAATAATATCTGGCATATATCTCTTAGCTTAATGGATGTGTGTGGCGTGCAAGTGTATTAAAGTATGCCATTCTGATATTATGTAGCTTTTTCTGAGTTTTATTATTTTTGTATACTTTGGCAGGTTACCTATCCCTCGACCAGGTGAAGTTTTGGGATTAGTTGGAACTAATGGTATTGGAAAGTCAACTGCTTTAAAAATTTTAGCAGGAAAGCAAAAGCCAAACCTTGGAAAGTACGATGTATGTATTACCACCTTATAAAAAATAGATAGCTTGGGTTGGTTTTGTGAGACTGAAAGAGAGTGTATATGTCATTTTGTTTTGTTTTATTTTGCTTTTGTTAATCCTTACCCAAGGATATTTTTCCATTGATTTTTAGAGAGAGTGGAAGGAAGGGGGAGAGACAGAGAGAGAGAAACATCAATTTGAGAGAGATACATTAATTAGTTGCCTCCCACATGCACCCCGACCAGGACTGGGGATCGAGCCTGCAACTGAGGTAACATGCCCTTGACCAAAATCAAACCTGGGACCCTTCAGTCCACAGGCTAACCAATGCTCTATCCACTGATGCAAACCGTCTAGGGCTGTGTCTATTTTTTTTTTTTTAAGTTATTTTTAAAATTATTTGTGGAATTAATGCTAAGAAACTATACAGAGATGAAACTCCTTCATTTTTTAATTAAAATCTGTTGGTGCTACTTATCTGATTATTCTGAGTTTTATTAAACTGTTATGAGTTGGTATACCTTGATTTGAAATTAAATCCTCAATATTAAGATTAAGTTAGAAGCCAAAAGTATTCTATTTGGACACATGTTCTATTTTGTGTAACAGTCATCCTCCTTGCAATTATATTATTAAATTAAATTCAGGTAATTATATTTATATTTCTAGGATCCACCAGATTGGCAAGAAATTTTGACTTACTTCCGTGGATCTGAATTGCAAAATTACTTTACCAAGATTCTAGAAGATGACCTCAAAGCTATTATCAAGCCTCAGTATGTAGACCAGATTCCCAAGGCTGCAAAGGTCAGTTGCTTTTTAGGAGGAATTTATACTTTATAGATATTGATGGAGGTATAAAAAAATATATCAAATTAAAGCAAAGATTGAAGGGATTTTAACATTGAATTTAATTTTAATATTGGAGGAAAACAGTAATGACTGTTTTTGGTATATTATGACAGGGGACCGTAGGATCTATTTTGGACCGAAAGGATGAAACAAAGACACAAGCAATTGTATGTCAACAGCTTGGTAAGTGTTTATTTTGTGTATGTGTTTTAATAGGTCCTAAAGTTTAATTATAAAACAAATGTCTTTATATGGATTATTGAAATACTAGAGGCCCGGTGCACAAAAATTTGTGCACTCGGGGGGTCCCTCAGCCCGGCCTGTGCCCTCTCTCAGTCTGGGAACCCTCGGGGGATGTTCACCTGCTGGCTTAAGCCCGCTTCCCGGGGGATGGGCCTAAGCTGGCAGTTAGACATCCCTCTGGCAGCCCAGGAGCCCTCGGGGGGTGTCCACTTGCCAGCAGGGAGCAGGCCTAAGCTGCAGTCAGACATCCTTAGCACTGCTGAGGAGGCGGGAGAGGTTCCCACCACCACCGCTGTATTGGCAGCCATTAGCCTGGCTTGTGGCTGAGCAGAGCTCCCCATGTGGGGGCTCACTGACCACTAGGGGGCAGCTCCTGCATTGAGCGTCTGCCCCCTGGTGGTCAGTGTGTGTCATAGTGACCAGTCATTCCCAGTTCTGCTGTTAGGGTCAATTTGCATATTACCCTTTTATTATATAGGATAGAGGCCTGGTGCATGGGTGGGGGCCGGCTGGTTTGCCCTGAAGGATGTCCCGGATCAGGGTGGGGGTCCCGCTGGGGTGCCTGGCCAGCCGGGGTGAGCGACTGAGGGCCGTTTTCAGATTGCCCATGCCCCTTTCAGGGTGGGGGTCCCCACTGGAGTGCCTGGCCAGCCTGGGTGAGGGGCTGATGGCTGTTTGCAGGCTGGCCACAGCCCCCAGCCACCCAAACTCCCAGTGGAGGCTGGCTGGAAGCAGGTATCTGGGATTTATTTATCTTCTATAATTGAAACTTTGTTGCCTTGAGCGGAGGCCACAGCCAGCCAGGGCAGGCAGGAAGCTTGGCTTCCTCCATCGCTGGGGCAACCCAGCCTCCTGCTTGCTCCAGCTCCATGGCTGCTGGCCGCCATCTTGGTTGGGTTAATTTGCATATTGTCACTCTGATTGGCTGGTGGACGTGGCTTGGGGCATAGCGGAGGTGTGGTCAATTTGCATGTTTCTCTTTTATTAGATTAGATATGGGAAATCTCTGGTAGTTGTCATCTTTACTTTTTATTTTGCACAATTTCCAACTGAAATAGTCAAACTCAGAATGACCTACAATATAAATTTTACTTAGCAGAGGTGAAATAAAACTTATAATGTTAAACACAATGCCTCTATGTTCTTTGTAGATCTAACCCATCTAAGAGAACGAAATGTGGAAGATCTTTCAGGAGGAGAGTTGCAGAGATTTGCTTGTGCTGTTGTTTGCATACAGAAAGCTGACATGTAGGTTACCTTATACCTTTTATAGATCTCAATCCTTACTTTAGAGCTTTTATTTGTAATACTGCTAATAAAACGGTGGTTTTGAGAGAAACAATACAAGTAGTATCTAAGATTCTCATTTTGAGGTAAGCTGAAGCAGTTGTGCATCAACTGCCCATTCTACCTGTTCTTCCTACAGGGGGAGAAACTCATTTATTTAGATAAATACTTTACAATTGATGGGGTCCTGAGCTTTTTACTATGAAGTAAGTTGTTTATTATTTAAACTCTCTTTGTACATAAGAAGAATATTTTTTTAAAATACATCTTTATTGATTTCAGAGAGGAAGGGAGAGGGAAAGAGAGATAGAAACATCAATGATGAGAGAGAATCATTGATTGGCTGCCTCCTGCACATCCCCCACTGGGGATAAAGCCCGCAACCCAAGCATGTGCCCTTGGCTGGAATCGAACCTGGGACCCTTCAGTCCGCAGGCTGACGCTCTATCCACTGAGCCAAACCAGCTAGGGCGAGAAGAATATTTTTTAAGGCTTAATTAAGCTCTCTAACAAAGCCAGCAAGTTTTTTTATAAATACCTCAAGTAGAATATAAGGTCTGAATATAACTCTGAATCAGGGTGGCATGCTATGTGAGAGTAAAAGGCCAGTTTCCTTCCTACCTTCCAGTGCCTCTCTTCTCCCCAGTACTTCCTGCTCCCATATTCCACGTTTCTGCTCTGGCATCCAAAGCAGGCTACCTCTCTAAAGTAGTCTATAATTCTGTGCGCTGCCCTCCACTCCAGAAACTTACTTGCTTAATGCAACTGACTTCAGCTGTTTAAGAGAAAAGCTCTCTGTATTACTTTGGACTAAATCAGAATATTTTTCATAAGCAGGTAACAATTTGTAAGGTAGCCTAATCTGGGAGTGTTTCTCCATGTTCAGTATGCAGTTCGGCTTTTCGTAATTTCTTCTTCTGAACAAAATACAGAAGTTTTTACCATTACAGGGTAGACTCCTCGTTAGAATAGGGGGATTTTTGTTGTTGCCAAACATGAACTATATTATAGGGTTTTAAAATAACATGCAAGATAGAATTATGTCATACTTCTCTTTCAAATTATGTTTGCTTTTCTTTTTCATAGTTTCATGTTTGATGAACCTTCTAGTTACCTAGATGTCAAGCAGCGTTTAAAGGCTGCTATTACTATCCGATCCCTAATAAATCCAGATAGGTAAGTACAGATTTGCCATGTGCCTGTGTTATTTTTGGGGGGGAGTTTTACAGATTTCTAAAGATTAAACACTGGGGCCATCAATGTCATATACATGTGCATGTTTTCCATGTTGGTTATTTGGAGCTACCATTTGAATTTACCTTCCTCTAACTAGAATATAGGTTTTTAATGCAAGATCATTTACTACTATGCCTGGTTCCAGGGAACTATGAATGCTCTGAAATGATCTGCAAATTCTGGTACAAATGAATGGGTTTCTGGGAAGCAGATCCTTAGCTCTTACCAGATCCTCAAATGAATGTGTCACTCAGACACACACAGAATTTAGAAAATAAGGATCAACAGGATAATTTCAGTTTTTCAGGGTCTTTCTGAGCACAAGAGAATTCTTAACCTCTGTTAAGTAATCATAACACCCTGTATATATGGGGTGCTTTTGTAGTTTGCAGAGTTTCTGAATCCATTATCTCATTTGAGCCTCATAGTAATCTTCTAAGTTAGAATAGAATCTTTCAACTATCAGTGATAAAGAAACAAATTTAGTTGGGCCAAATAGCAGCTATAATTTTTACCTTGTACATAGGCCTGGCTCTTTGGGGAATGCAAGAGTATAAAATGTAGTCCCAGTATTCAAGGACTTCACAGCCTGATAAAGAAAATACATAAGCAGTCAAGTTCTAAACTCTAGCTCTTTTTTATAAAATGTATTTATATCCCTTTATTATACTGAAATAAAAGTCATAGACAATCTACCTTCACACATAATTTTTTTTAAAATATCAAGTAATGGCCTAACCATAATGAAAAAGTTAGTGATTTATAACCAACTGACATGTATCTCAATTTGTAAATATTCAGCCAAATCACTACAGTCCGAAATTATCAGACTACAGAACCTTCACTGTCAAAGGATAACATGTCAAAGCAAATTATATTAACAAAGTGAAGAAAATGGTTGAGCTAGACATTTGCACATATGTGCTAGGTCTTTGATACAGGTTTAAAATAATCTCTCGTGATAAATTGACACAAAGTTAAAAGAAGTATATCTGTATCCTGAAATTCTACATGTCAAAGGACACATTCAGTCTTTAATGCTTTACAAAGATTTGGGAGATCATTATCTTTGGATAAACAATGAAAAAAAGAGGGTGGATTGGAGAAAGGAAAAATAATACAAGGGATTCTCTAGAATTTGACCTCTAATAACATCTTCAGTAAGATTGAAAACCAACAGTTAAACCAAAATTAATTGTAGTGTATAAATTTTCACAGCATAGATTTCTCATTATGGTGCAGATTCCTGTTTTTTTCCAAATCCTCAGAAAATAGAGTGGTCCTCCTAAATTATTTTTTACATTTTTTAAATGTTTTTTATTGATTTAGATTGATTTAGAGAGAGAGAGAGAGAGAGAGAGAGAGAGAAACATAATTGAGAGAGAAAGCATCTATCGGCTGCCTTCTGCATGGGCCCTATTGGGGATTGAGACCACAACCCATGCATGTGCCCTGACCAGGAATCGAACCAGCAACCTCTTGTTGCATGGGTTGATGGTCAACCAGTCAGCCACACCAGCTGGCTTTTTTTTTACATTTTGAACTTTTGCATAAGCTCCATTTGAAAGTAAGGAAAACAGGAGGTTTGACCTGATTATTGTTTTTTCTTTTTAAAGTAAATTAAAAACCACTAGATAATACTGTGTTGCCTTACATTGGGCCTTAAAGATTTTAATGGTAAAAAATAGAGGACTATTCCAGGTAATGGAATATTGCCAACAGAAACATAAGGCAGGATGAGTACTGGCTCTCTAATACTTCCTTTTCATATTAAATTTTCCCCCTACTTTTCATTCCTACTTTTACTATCTGACACCTGGATTACTGTGACAGCTTCCTTTAAGAAAGTATGGTTCTTCTTGCCTGGTTAATCTTCCTGAAGTGATGTTTTTTCATATAATTCTTTTATTCTAAAACTGGGCTGTAGCTTCTAGCCATATTTTGCTATTTTTATTTTAATTGAAATAAATTCATTTCTTTAATCAAACTAGTTACATTGTAAGTGCTGCGCATTCCATGTAGTTAATCGCCATCACATGGGACAACATAAAACATTTCCATAATCAGGGAAAGTTCTACTGGATAATGCTGTTTAAGAACCTATCATTTTCCCCATTGCCTATTAACATAAGTCCAAATTCCTCATCATTTAACAACTTTATTAAATATCTGTTTGATGCATAACACAAGAGTAAAGATCATTGCAGCCTTCAGGGTGTTTGTGGACAAGTTGTAGGGTACTCAGAAAGTACAAGTATTAGATCAGAGTGACAAAAGTTCAAGAATGAGGGAATGAACATTCATTTGACTATAAGGGTGTTCCTACAGAAGTTAGGATTTGAGATGGTAGGAGGGACTTCCAACAAGTGAGGATTTAGGCAGGAGACGTTTTAGAAGATAGAATACCCCCGAAACACACAAATGGAAAAGTGGATTGTTTAGGAAATAATGAAAGACCCATTTTTCAGTGTGTCCTATATATAAATGAAGTAAAAATAGCAGCTTCAGTTTTAGAAGGTCTTAAAAGAAAGTCTAATTATGTTATTTGTTTCTTTGGAAACTGAGAGCCATGTCTAGGGACCTGAAGAAAGTGAGATTTGTCTTTCCCAGCTACATTGGAAATTCTCAGATTCAGGATTCTGTCTGTCATTCTCCATGCATCCCCTACCACAGCCAGCATGGGACAAGTAGAGAGATTGAATGTGTAAGGGGAATAGCATAATAATCAGTTAGGCTACATCTGATTTAAATCTATTAATTGTTTCTGCTTTGTAAAGTTTATTTTAAAATGTATATTAGTAAAATATATTTTTTATATATTTAATATTAACTCTTTTTTCTTTTAGTTTAGGATACCAGTTTGAAATATGAACATTGATAGAGTCATATTTAAAGAAATATTTTATGGCTTTTGTTTAATATGGTCTTTATACTTAATTTTTTAAAAATATATATCTTTTCCTGAAATTTACACTGTGGTTCATAAAAGTTACATAGCAGTTATAATTAAATATAATTTTAATGTTATATATATTGTTACATCTTAAATCTATATTAATTTTCAGATATATCATTGTGGTGGAGCATGATCTAAGTGTATTAGATTATCTCTCTGACTTCATCTGCTGTTTATATGGCGTACCAAGTGCATACGGTGTTGTCACTATGCCTTTTAGTGTAAGAGAAGGTAACTTGCAAAACTGTTTTCACAATGCTGTATTCTCTCTACTCTAATGCTTAAGAAAATGTACTGTTGTTGATATTAAGTCCCTCTAATATGACTTATCTAAAACTCTAGTCTCATGAAATTTAACCATGTAACAGAATATATATTTGGTTATATTCATCAGTTATAATACAAAACCTGTATCTTTTTGGAGAATTTTCTGTTGGGGTGGATAGAAATAAACTTGGCAGAATAGTTTTACTATTTATTTGCTATATTAAAAGTTTCTTTTATATTTTAGCTTCTGTAGAAACTTTTATATATCATCTTCAACTTCATCTGTGACAGGCCAATACCAGTAGTGAAACTCTTTTTTTTTTTTTTTTCAATATATTTTATTGATTTTTTACAAAGAGGAGAGAGAAGGATAGAGAGTTAGAAACATCAATGAGAGAGAAACATCGATCAGCTGCCTCCTGCACACCCTCCACTGGGGATGTGCCCGCAACCAAGGTACATGCCCTTGGCCGGAATCGAACCTGGGACCCTTGAGTCCGCAGGCCGACGCTCTATCCACTGAGCCAAACCGGTTAGGGCCAGTAGTGGAACTCTTAAAATTCATTTAGTGCTTATCTTGTTTCAAATGTATGTTATCTATCCTAAGTTTGTAGAATTAGGGCTGCCTAAAAGTCTAATAAGATAGTTTACTAAGTATATATTACAGTTTAGGAACTGACTGTAAGTCTAGTAAAATAGCTTAGTGAGTATATTTTTATGTATTCCTTCTACTTTCAGGAAAGAGGGCCTCTCTGGCCTCTCTTTTCCATGCGCTTCCCTACCTAAGCAAGTTAGACAAAAGTAAAAACTAGCCTACCACTAAGTGGCTCCTGAAACAATATCTGTGCACTCTCCATCTAGTATGCCTTTTCCTTTTCGTTTCTATTTCCTTTCTCTGCTTTCCTTCTTTTATTTTCCTTTATATTTCTTCTCTTTGGCTCTGCCTTCGGCTGACAACCTAGAATACCGAAAAGGACTACTTAGTCCATATTTTTAAAAAATAGCAGTCTATAACTGATAGTCTTTGTGATACCTAGCCCTTTTGGAAAAAGAAATTTCTATTGCATTATACATTTTGCATAAAAAGGCAGTGGTAGCTTTTTTATTTTATAAAAACATATAAATATTTTTTAAAATATATTTTTATTGATTTCAGAGAGAAAGGGAGATAGAAACATTAATGATGAGAATCACTGACCAGCTGCCTCCTGCACACCCTGCCCACAACCTGCACATGTGCCCTGACTAGAAATCGAACCGTGACCTCCTGCTTTATAGGTCAATGTTCAACCACTGAGCCACGCCGGCTAGGCTTAGTTTAAGGGGAAGGATTTGTTATCACTTCTTAAACTTTGAGATAAATAGATACATATTTTAAGGAAAAATTGTGAGATTGCTGTTTTCTTTCTAATAGTCTTAAAGAGATGATATTAGAAGTTATTCTTTACATCTTATTTTCCTCAATTGGCCAATATTTATTTATTGAGTATTCTAGCATATAGTAGTAATAGTTCTACAATCTTGTTGAAAATTATGTGGATAATCACTTGTCAATTCTGTTTATGAATGCCTTGTGTAAAGGCTTTGCCACTGAAAAAAATAATCCCTGGTGAGGTTTTTAATGTGCCTTATCTGTTAAAACAATTCAAATAGCAAACCACTTAATCTTTCTGCTTTCCTTTAGTAAAACTGAAATTAAAGCAAAATATATAACTCTTTAAACTGTAAAAGCGGTAAGACAAACATTGCAGTAAGAATGTAAAGGTTGATTTATTAATGTTTTGCTCAAAGTCCCTTATTTCTCTGCATCTTCCTTTTCTTACCTTGTAAATTATGCACTTGGACTAAATGTTCACTAAGGTTCCTTTCCTTCAAGTTTATGTTTTTATTTAATTTTTGGTTTTAATTTTTTTAACCTCACATAAAGATTTTTTTTAAATGCTACTTTTGGCAAAACCAATGTATCTCTTCATATGTTCTGTCAGCAAATATTTATTGAACACACCTATGTTTTAGGCTGAGCTTACAGGCCCCCTGATGTGGCTCTCAGTTCCAGATGAAACAAATAACATTCTTAGACTTTCTTTCAAGACCTTCCAAAACTTCAGTCAGTCTTTCTCTTCTCTTACATATAGCAAATACTGAAAAGAGTGTTTTTGTTTATTTGTTTCCCAAATAATCCACTTTTTCATTTCTGTGTCTGCCATTATGGATCTTAACAACTTTAGTGTGGAAGGATTCTCATATATAATAAGTTAGTTTATTTCCAGTTTTTATATCCTGTTAAATATGTTTTGCTTTTTATTGATTTCAGAGAGAGGAAAAGAGAGAGGGATACCATCAATGATGAGAAAGTATCATTGATCGGCTGCCTCCTGCATGCCCCCTATTGGGGATCAAGCCGGAAACCTGAGCATGTGCCCAAACCAATCAGGAATGGAACTGTGACCTCCTCGTTCATGGGTCAACACTCAACCACTGAGTGACACTAGCCAGGCTTTAAAACCTTTTAGATAATGGTGTTTGACTTTGTATAATGAAGCCAAAAAGTGTCAAATGAAGTTCATTATTATCAATGTTTTAGAAACCTGCAAAAATAATTAGGGGATAAATGCAGTAAATTATAACCTCAGTGTATAATTATAGCTCATGTGAAAATGAATACTCATAATTTAAATAGTTTATTTAAAAAATTATTCCCCAGCCTGGCTGGCGTGGTTCAGTGGTTAAGCATCAACCTATGAACCAGGAGGTTGTGGTTCAATTCCCACTTGGGGCACATGCCCGGGTTACTGGCTTGGTCCCCCATAGGGGTCGTGCGGGAGGCAGGCAATCAGTGATTCTCTCATCATTGATGTTTCTATCTCACCCTCTTCCTTCCTATAAAAATATTATTTAAAAAAAAAAGGAACTTGTTGCTTTTTTTAAGTTATTCCCCAAACTATTTTATATCATTTTATGTCAATTTATGAAAATAATCCACTTTTACTAGTCATTTTTAGAGAAAAATTACAATTTGTGAGTTAAAAATGAGCAGCAGGATTGGCATCGTATGCTTTTGCATTAAACCTGCTGGGGGAAATATCTTATAAAATCACATCATAATGAAAGGATGTGCTTTGTATGTGTGTGTATATATATAGGCCACATATATGTGCACGAATTATTTAAACTTTCATTAGACACATAAAACACTGGGTTGTCACTGCATGTTATCATAAATCCACAGAAATTAAAAGCCTGTGCTTACAGTGATCCCGAGAGAGCCTGAGGTTTGAACTCTAATGTAATAATTTCTTGCTGTAGAGAAAGTTTTTTTTAATTGATCTTTACTAATCTGTTGTCAATGATTTTTCAATAGGCATAAACATTTTTTTGGATGGCTACGTTCCAACAGAAAATTTGAGATTCAGAGATGCGTCACTTGTTTTTAAAGTGGCTGAGACAGCAAACGAAGAAGAAGTTAAAAAAATGTGTATGTATAAATATCCCGGAATGAGAAAAAAGATGGGAGAGTTTGAGCTAGCAATTGTAGCTGGAGAGTTTACAGATTCTGAAATCATGGTGATGTTGGGGGAAAATGGTAAGTTTTTCTAATTTTATGATATGTGAACATCTGTTCTGTTTACCTAGTAACTTAATTTTAACTGCTCCATGAAAAACTCAGTTATAGGTTTGGAAGCTGGATCGAATCCATACATTTCTCAGTATAGTTCACATTTTGTAACATTATGTGATTTAATCTCACTGTCATTCAATCAAGTTCATATTATTTTGTTTTATAACTTTCAGTAAAAATAAGATTTTTTTGAAATCTAGTATCTCTATTTATAAATTGATAGGGCATTTATTCACATAGAATACTGATAAGAAGGAAACAATATTTGCAATTCACAAGCAATCATGTTTTCAATGTTCTTGCGCTCTTTCTTTTGGAGATTTTCTTATTTCAAATCCAAACTAGTCTACCTTTGTAAATAGTTCTATTACCAGCACTTTTTAATATTATGTTGCCATCATAAATATAATTATGAGATTAATTTGAGTACCAAATATCTGATATTGCTTTCATGATTTAAAAAAAAACATTTGAATGGTATACTATCTATAATAATGAAAGCGTAATATGCCAATTAGACCGGATGTCATTCCTTCTGAACAAAGCTGCAGCGGGCAGGGGTCGCGGCAGAGGATCCCCGGCTGTGGCGGTGGCGGCCAAGGCCCTTGTACAAATTTTGTGCATCGGGCCTCTAGTAGCTTATAAAACTGTGGAAGAACATTTTTATGAGGGTTGTTCAATGTATCACCCTTTAGTTAATGAAGGAATTTTGAACTGGGTTGCAATTAACTTAAATATTTCATGTAAATGGTCTTCATAATGAGGGTATAAATTATACTATTCTGTCTTAATAAATTGTATGCATTGACATTTTAGCTAAATATCATATTTTTAAAAGTAGCCAAAGTCTAATACTTAGGCCTATCATTTATTAAAATGGTCATTATTAGTTTTAACTAGTTTATATTCCTCCTAATTAGTTTAGAATGATACTTGAAAGGTGAATCATGAAAGTATTTCTCTGCATGACCTTCAGAATTCAGTAGTGTCAGTATATATCTTTAAAACTAATTTCTCAATTAAAACCCAGTAGTACATAGTGATTTACACTAAATGTGGAGCATCTTTCAAGTCAATTTGTTGTATGTTGTGTTGCCAGGTACTGGTAAAACGACATTTATCAGAATGCTTGCTGGAAGACTGAAACCTGATGAAGGAGGTACTGTTGTAATCTTGATTCCTTTTACTCAGTTCTACATAGTAAACGTTAAAGATCTGGGCAGTTTTCAGTGTTTTATTTATTTGCATTATTTTGCAGGAGAAGTACCAGTTCTAAATGTCAGTTATAAGCCACAGAAAATCAGTCCCAAATCAACTGTGAGTTATTCTGTTATTTGGTTATTAAAGTTTATATATATGTATAACACACAAACACACACACACACACACACACACACACACATACATATATATATATATATATAATGTTAATCTTTTCCATATCAAAATTCAAATTAGTTTCTGTACAGTTTTATCAAAAAGTGTCTAGAGTCCAGCCAGCGTGGCTCAGTGGTTGAGCCTCGATATATGAACGAGGTCATAGTTCGATTCCCGATCCGGGCACATGCCCTGATTGCGGGCTCGATCCCCAGTAGGGGGCATGCAGTAGGCGGCCAATCAATGGTTCTCTCATCATTGATATGTCTCTCTCTCCCTCTCCCCTCCTCTCTGAAATCAATAAAAACATATGTTTTTAAAGTGTCTAGAGAAGGTATTAAGACTATAGTCGTCAATTCATTTCCACTAAGAAAATGCTTTTAAAATCTGATAGGCATCTTTTCCCAAAATGAACCTTTAAAAACCTAAAGTGTTGTGCTGCAAATAACATGATCAAGAAAGTGAAAAGGCCTCTCACAGGATGGAATAAGCTATTTGCAAATCATTTATCTCAAATATATAAAGAACTCTTAAAACTAATTTAAAAATAAGCAACAGATTTGAATATACATTTTTCCAGAGAAGATACACAAATGCTCAATAAGCACATTAAAAGATGCTCACCATCATTAGTCATTAGGGAAATGTAAATCTAAACCAGAATGTAATAACTACTTCACACCCACTGGGATGACTTAAAAAAAAGAAGTATTGGTGAAATATGAACCTCATACATTGCTGGTGGGAATGTATAATGGTGCAGCCACTTTGAAAACCAACTTAGCAGTTCCTCAAACAATTAAACATAGTTACATACGAACCAGCACTTTCACTCGTAGACATATCCCCAAGAGAAATGAAGACTATCTCAACACAAGAATTTGCACACAAATACATTATTCATAATAGCCAAAATGTGGGAAATAACCTAAATGTCCATTAGCTGATGAATGGAATAAACACTGTGTATATCCATAAAATTTAATGTTATTCACCCATAAAAAGAAATAAAATACTAATACATGTTGTAATATGGATGAACCTTGAAAACATGAAGTTAATCTCTAGTTTCTGCAGGTGTTGTAATGAACTTCTTGACTACAATATCCATACTCAGTACCTCAACACTCTCTTAGGTCTATTTGAGGTGGCTTAGCTTACAATAAAAAATTTTACCATTGATATTTTCTATAAGCTTACCTTTTTAAAAAATATATTTTTTTATTGATTTCAGAGAGGAAGGGAGAGAGAGATATAAACATCAATGACAAGAATCATTGATCAGCTGCTTTCTGCACACCTCCTACTGGGGATCGAGCTCGCAACCCTGGGCATGTGCCCTGACCGAAAATCGAACATGACCTCCTGGTTCATAGGTCGATGCTCAACCACTGAGCCACACCAGCCTGGCTAAGCTTACCTTTTAAGTTCTCAAACTCAGACCTCTCCAGAAATAATCAGCAGTGCATCTTAAGATTCATCCTATCAGTTTGTATTATCTTACTGATACATTGACCTTGAGAATTATTCCTATTCTCAGTGACTTCTCCCCTGAAACATTCATCATTTATTACTTTCAAATTTCAAGATTATTGCTTTTCTTTTTATTGTTGGACATGATGGGTTTAATTTAAAATTTTCAGAACATGCCATAGATGACAGATAAGCATAAAAACACTATTGATATCTATTGGTGGCAAATTGACATAGTTTTGCTCTGGAACTTAACTTTGTTACAATTCATAATTAGAGTAGTTCTGTACTGAAATAAAATTTCAATATTCATCCATTAAAAACAGGGAAGTGTTCGACAATTACTACATGAAAAGATACGAGATGCTTATACTCATCCACAATTTGTGACTGATGTAATGAAGCCTCTGCAAATTGAAAACATCATCGATCAAGAGGTACTCTAATTTTTTGTTATTTTATTATTTTAAACTGGATGTCTCTAAATGGTTTGCTAACCTTCTCCAAATAGGTACAGACATTATCTGGTGGTGAACTGCAGCGAGTAGCTTTAGCTCTTTGTTTGGGCAAACCTGCTGATGTCTATTTAATTGATGAACCATCTGCATATTTGGATTCTGAACAAAGATTGATGGCAGCTCGAGTTGTCAAACGGTAATGACCTCATGAAAGTATTTTTGGTTATGTGTACTGGCATACAGCTGTGCTTAATATAGCATTTGAATATTTGATTATATAAAACTATGTGATTTTGCAATTATATGTTTTAGTTTCATACTCCATGCTAAGAAGACAGCCTTTGTTGTGGAACATGACTTCATCATGGCCACCTATCTAGCAGATCGAGTCATTGTTTTTGATGGTGTTCCATCTAAGAACACAGTTGCAAACAGGTAAAACTACTTTCTAAAATATTCAGCGTAATTATAACTTTTAATAATTAGTAAATTATTTAAAATTTTCCAATAAGCTTATAAACACTACTCATACTGTTTTGTTTTTTTTTTAGTCCTCACCTGAGGATATGGTTTTTTTAAATGATTTTTAGAAAGAGGGGAAGGCAGAGAGAGAAACATTCTGTTGGTTGCCTACCATACTCGCCCTGACTGGGAATCGAACCCACCCACTACCTTTTTGGTATATGGGACAAAGCCCCAACTAACTGAGCCACCTGGGGACTCAAACCATTTTAATTTTTAAGAAGGAAAGAGATAGCCAGAAATAGAAATTATACACTGACATCCAAGATTATTCACATGGAATACTGGATGGGATCTGGCAGAAACGTTTTCAGACAATGTATAGAACTCCTGGCCCAGGGGGATAAGCATATAGAGTTCTGAGCCCCTCGCCTTTTTTTTTTTTATATATATTTTATTGATTTTTTTACAGAGAGGAAGGGAGAGGGATAGAGAGTTAGAAACATCGATGAGAGAGAAACATCGATCAGCTGCCTCCTGCACACCTCCTACTGGAAATGTGCCTGCAACCAAGGTACATGCCCCCGACCAGAATCGAACCTGGGACCTTTCAGTCCACAGGCTGATGCTCTATCCACTGAGCCAAACCAGTTAGGGCTCGCCTTTTCATTTATGTTAAGTTTTACCTGCATTATGTGGATTTCCAGAACACATTAGGATTCCGAATTTGCAATAACCTTGAAAATCATACGTGTTATATAGGATATATAAAGTAAGATCCACATATGTTATGTGATTGTTTGTGGTAAAGGTCACAGTAGACCCCAAATGTAATGATTTTACTATTTCTCTTTTTTTCCTATCATTTTTTTCCTTACTGGCTTGAGAGCATTTGTAATGTAGAGAAGCCTAACATATAAGGTTAACCCATATGAAATTACTATATTCAACCATTTTTGACCCATAAAAACAGTAATTTTATGTGATTCCAGCATAACATTTTCTGGATTAGGGAGGAATGGAGTTGCTATTTGAATAATTCATTCATGAAATATAAGTATCCTACTAAGCTTCCCAGAATTCCATTATTTTCATTTTAAATTTATACATCAATTACTGATTAGGGACATTTCTTAGGTCATATAAGGGTTATTTATTCAAATAATGATCCTCTTTGTATTTATAAAATGTTCCACATGTGTGATGTGATTTAGGATGAATAAAGCACAGATATTTTAAAAGTTCTTATTACTAAAAATCATTATGTTGTACATACTCCCTCCAGTGCCTAATTTCCAACATAAATATTACCTTTTCTGTTAAAGTCTTTTCTCCCCTAAAAACGTCAGATTTGAAATTCTGTAATTTCCTAATTAATGATCTTTACTTTTCTATAGTACTTCTTAAATGTTTTTTTCCAGATCAGCAACAAGTTAAATTAAGTTTTACACAAAAATATTATAGCCAAACTAGAGTCCACACGAAGACATTTCAGAACACAGAGTTTATAATATGCTGTGGTTATACTACTATCCAGATGACTTAGGATTGGGGAATTAGAGGGAACAGTGATTCTTTATCCCAAAAAGTTAAATTTGAGGAGTAGAATTTAATAAAAATTTACCTTATTTTTCTTCTAGTCCTCAAACCCTTTTGGCTGGCATGAATAAATTTTTATCTCAGCTTGAAATTACATTCAGAAGAGATCCAAACAACTATAGGCCAAGAATAAACAAACTCAATTCTATTAAGGTATGTAGAAAAACTATCTTAAATCTTGGATAACTCAAGGCATGTTTCAAATTAAAATCTGTATTATATTTTTATTAATTCCAAGTCATGCTTTTCATATTTTAATACCTGGTGGCATACTTAAGTTTTACAGGCAGCAATTGTGATGTGGCTGCCATTGCTACCTGAACTGTTCATGTCATCTGAGTTGTACCCACTCTTGTACCTGTGTTAACTGCCATTTAACTGCCTTCAGAAAGATTACACTAATTCACCAGTGAAACAAGTTTTTAAGAATACCTTAATCAGTTTGGTGGGGTTTTTTTTTGTGCATGCATAGGAACAACATAATTAATATAGTTTGTCTAAATAAACTCCTTCAGTGATCATAAAATTCTAAACAATGGAAAAATATTTTGTCAGTTTAATTGGCACTTTTTCTTTCTTTGTGGTATCTAAAATAATTGTGCCACCTACGCTTGATGTAGTCTGTGATATACCATCTGTTATCAGAAGGCAATAATCTCTTGGTCACTAAAAATTCATTTTTAAAATGAGTTAAAAAAAAACACAAAACCATTTGTTTTTATATCCCCTGCAGAGCCTCTTTAAAATGCTGCTTACATTTTGTGGTCTCTGGCTATCATATTATTTTAGAAACTGTAGAAGTATGCTATACACCATACCCGTAGCAATCACTAGATTTTATTGTTTTGTACTCCGCTAGCTTTGTGACTTAACCATGAGTTTTTGGAAGGCAGAGACAAAGTCATCGTACACATCATGTTGCCTTTAGCCTTCTGTGTTTTATTTATGACTGTTACTCACTGGCCAGGAGAATGAAATGACAAGTTTTAACTTAAAAGTGAAGTTTCCTCAGTTTTGGAAAACATTAAGCAGAAAAGAGGACCTAAAACATTGATTATGGAAAACTTATTTTTCCTAAGAATTTCTGCTGAAGTATTATGAACACGGTTTTTTATTTTCTGTGTATCGTCCCGTCCCCCCCCCTTTTTATTGAATGAACACTTTGTACTGTCTTTTCTTTTTTTTTTTTTTTGCAGAAATTTATGGTTTGGTTCTCTCTGCCCACTCATCTCAGTCATACCTTAACCCTAATAAGTGAGTAGCTAGGCAAATAGGTAGATGGGTCATTACTGGCCAGTCAGTAAAGAGCACTGGGGAAATTTTTTACATATTTTGTGTAATAGGCAGTTTTCAAACCAACAATATGGACCTTTTGTACCAGGAGCTTAAAATGATGAAAATGGAATTTAATAGTTTTCCTGGAAACAGTATTTTTCATGGCAACTTTATGAGTATAAGTATTTTATGTGAAAGGCTTTGCTTGACGTGAACCAAGGTAAGTGTTCTGTAGTACGGATGGGGAGCAGAGGTAGAAATCTTGCTTCTAAGTCATGGACCCAGAAATATCCAGAAACAGACCTGAGTGCAGAGGAGGTTGTAACTATTGTAAACAATGCTGAGTAATACTGTGAGTGAAACTCTTACCTCTACATGTAGGAGAATGGTGTTGATTTTTGTTGCTTCTCTATTTTATTTTTTAGGATGTAGAACAAAAGAAGAGTGGAAACTACTTTTTCTTGGATGATTAGACTAAATCTGACAATATCGATAAACCATTTATTAAAAGAAACATTGGGATTTTTGTCATATAAAACTTTAATCAGGTTTAATGTCCCACATACTCTAGAGCCTGAAGTAGAATTTACTTATTGTAACATAAGCCAGTTGTGTTGTAAATTGTAGTCTGAACCACAAAAAAATGCCACTTTTCTGTTCTTGATGATAAGGCCCTTTTTGCCTCTAACATTCTAAAATGAACACATTTCAAGCTATATTAATTACCTCCAAACTTTAATGATGTATGGGAAGATTTTTCAGTGGATGTACTATATTCATGTACCAAATGTTGACCAGTGTTGCCCCCTTTTAAAACTCTTGAAAAAGGTTTCTGTACTTACATGGTTTGCCACGTATGCCAATATAATGAACTGCCCTTAATTTAAAGTTGGTCTAAGATTCGACTGATGAAATTGGATAAATAAATATTAGGATTATATTTGTTTTCAGTCTTTGGACTATATTATCAGTGTGTTTAGACTTTCAAAAGATCATCATCTACAAACAACCACTGTCAGAAATTGCTGTTACCAACTTAATCATTGCTTACAATTTTTGGTACTTTTGAATATCTTCATAGAAATCATTTCAATATCCCCCAACTTTCACCAAGAAAACAACCTAACTTCACTTTGATATGCTCAGCTTAGCATTCCCTAAGATTCTATATTCTGTAATTGCTCTCAAGGTAATGGTTCTCTAAACATACCTTTTTATAATCACTAATCAAGATTTAGGAAAATGCATTGTAAAGAACGCTTGCTTCCCTTAAAAGTACAGGCTCAAAAGTCTCTCAAGTTGGTGCCTAAGCATTTATATATTTGTAAGTTTCCACAGATTTCTGGTGGGCAGCCAAGAACTGTGAGCCACTTATCTAAAGGCAACATTAATTCAAACACTCCCCAGATAGCAATACAAAGTAGCCCTTGTACCAAATACACTTAATTCTAAATTTGGATATAGAGCAGTGATGGCGAGCCTATGACACGCGTGTCAGAGGTGACACGCGAACTCATTTTTTTGGTTGATTTTTCTTTGTTAAATGGCATTTAAATATGTAAAATAAATATCAAAAATATAAATCTTTGTTTTACTATGGTTGCAAATATCAAAAAATTTCTATATGTGACACGGCACCAGAGTTAAGTTAGGGTTTTTCAAAATGCTGACACACTGAGCTCAAAAGGTTGGCCATCACTGATAATAGAGGATATTATGTACATCTATTTCACTCTTTTTTTTTTCTTTAGTTTATAGCAAGAGTTCTAATATTTTATCCAAGTCCTCGGTTTGAGCAATAGAAACCTCTAGTGTGAAACCACGTTCAGTTTATACTTCTAATTTTATTTTTTAAAATATTTTTATTGATTTCAGTGAGGAAGGGAGGAGGACAGATAGAAACATCAATGATGAGAGCATCATTAATTGGCTGCCTCCTGCAGGCCCCACATTGGGGATCAAGCCTACAACCTGGGCATGTGCCCTGACTGGGAATCAAACCATAACCTCCTGGTTCATAGGTCAAGGCTCAACCACTGAAACAACCAGCCGGGCATAAGTTCTAAAAATTTATCCAATTCCGAGTTCTCAGTTTGAGCAATAGGAACCTCTAGTGCAGTGGTTCTCAACTTCCTAATGCCTCGACCCTTTAATACACTGGGTACTCATATGTGAGCGTATCTGCATGTGGGTGGACCCGCCTGGAGACCGATAGAGGAGCGGTGTCTCGGTTCCTAAGACCATCGAAAATATGTTTTCCGATGGTCTTAGGCGACCCCTGTGAAAGGGTCATTCGAAAAGGGGTCGTGACCCACAGGTTGAGAACCGCTGTTCTAGTGTGAAACCACTTTCAGTTATGCTTCTGACTAATGCAATGAACTGGAACTACCATGCTATAAGTGAGGGAAAGAGCTTACTAAATGAATTAATGGAGCAAGGAAACTAGAGGAAGAAATTTGAAATTATTGAACAGACTAAATTTAGTTACTTGAAACAATAGCTTTGATTGATATGCAAATTGGACAAAAAAGTATAACTGGGCCCCATTAGGCCTTTAAAATTAATATATAAACTAGAAGCCCAGTGCATGAAATTCATGCACTGGTAGAGTCCCTAAGCCTGGCTGGTGATCAGGGTCGATCTATGGGGTGACCAACGGGGCAATTGTGGGGCCCCGCTGGTACCCGCCTTGGCTGGCCTGGCACCCCCCCACTCGCCAGCCCCTCCCCTCCAGGGCGATCCAGGGGTGGCACCAGCCCACTCACTGGCCAGCCCTGCTGCCAGTCACCTCCCTCGGTGGAGTGACCAGCGGGACAATCGGGGCCCCTGCTGGCACCTGCCTTGGCTGGCCTGGGGCCTGTGGGCTAGGGGCAGCTCCCGCGTTTAGCATCTGCCCCCTGGTGGTCAGTGTGTGTCATAGTGACTGGTTGTTCTGTAGTTCGTCGATTTGCATATTAGGCTTTTATTACATAGAAATACATTTGTGAAAAATTCAAATGTACCGAAATCTATGGAATAAAAAGTTATGATCTCCCTTCACATTACCCTCCCAAAGGTTACCAGTGTTAATATGTAAAGGGCTTGTATTGTATATAAATGGGATTATACTAAAATATGTAGTGCCTATTTTTAAGGATAGTTAAATTTGTGAATGTTTATTTCAAAAAATTGAATAAAATAAGCCAAAAGCTATTTTTATTTACTGATTCCGTATTCTGTCCTAAAGAATATACAATATATAGAGCACAGTTCTACCTATTGCTTATGACAGAATATGTATTACATTTTTCATGCAGATGAAAATTTAAAAACATAGCTGTTCCTTAAAATTTTGTGGCAATAGAAAAGGGCTTACAGTTGCTAACAAAAAAAATTTTTCTATAAAATCAACATTACCAACTCAGAAACACCTTCAATGCAGAAGTTAGCTATTAAAAAGAGACTGTTGAATATGTCCTGATTGGAAGAAATCTCTAGGCAAAAAAGCATGGTGTAACTGTTTATGTAATGCACCATTCATATGAAAATATGCAAAATATTAAAGTACACAGAAGGATACTCAAGAAGCTTAATGCTTTCAGGAAGAATAACTTGATTAAAGAATAGGAAGGTGACATACCTCTTACCTTCTGAATTTTATATTTTGTATATATCAACTGTTTAGAAATAATTTTAATGATTCAATGTATAGTTTGGTACCTAGTATGTAGTATGCCTACAGTATTGAAGGAATGGATCTATTTACCACAGACAGTAGGAAGAAAGGATAACTACTCAGTTCTGTAATTTCGTTCATGTTCATTAACATTTAGACATGTGTATGTCAGACTTAACCCAGTGCCTGGTGTAATATGAGCACTCAGTGGTTCAGGCGAGAAATAATTACGTTGGAGAGTCAGAAAGGGCTACGTGAAGGAGGTAGCTACCAAAAAAATAGTACCTGTAATGATAAATGGTAAAGTAATCCATGTAAAGCAGAAACATCAGGTCAGAGGCAGAGATCAGCATGGGCAGTGAAGAGATTAGTGAAGGGATGGACACAGGCAGACTGTAGTGGACTCTCCATGCTTTCAAGATTCAAGTTAGAGGTTTTTACATGCTCAAAGTAGGGACTGAAGAGACAAAGCAAAACCAGTTAGAGAAGCAGCTAGAATTATCAAGATAGTGGTTCAGGAACTTACAATTCTTTTATTCCATTGTCTTTTAATCTTTTGAAACACTTAATACTTGCATTACTCTGCAATTAGTCTATGTCCTACTCTTGGATTGTTTCCTTTTAGTTTGTGAGCTGTTCAGTGAGGCTTTGTCTTTCCTTCCCAACTTCATACTACAAGCATCTCCTTCCTTACCAACTTGATAGGGTAGGCAGTGTGCCCAGCCTCAGATGATGATTCATAATTGGGCTAAGACACCCATGACAACCATCATCTGCATTTTCCTAGTCTCTCACAGCTAGACATAGCCATGCTGACCCAGTCCTAGCCATGAAATTGAAAGTAAAGTAGCAAGCAGTCTCTTGCGGAGGAGGGGGAGTGTTTCTGGAGGCCCCCTTGCTTTTCCAATAAAAGGATATCTGGTACCTACCCTTGTGGGTGTGTTGCGCCCATAAAGTGGCACAAGAAATGCCAAAAATGCTAGTCTGAGGTGTGACCAGCAGCTACAGATTATCTTATGAAAGGGGAATAAATCCCTATTTGTTTAAGCTACTATAAGTCAAAATGGTTTTGTTAAAATAACCTTGGCTCCTAGATTGAGGTCTGTCCAAAGGCTTTCAGTTTGCTTCTACCAGGTGACCCAAGTGTATTTCCAGCTTGGAACCACTTTTAATCTTAGCTTGTAGATTCCTAGACCTCAAACCTAAACAAATGTGAAAACATTCTTAGTGTTTTGTTTTGTATTTTTCCCTTTAAGAATCTGGACCCCAGGCCAGGAAAGGCTTGTTTATAGGAAATTTATGTTATTGCCATCAGTGCCCATTTTACTGGGGTGCTCCTGGCTTTAATGTAAATTTGTTTCAGTTCCCAGCCTTGCCTGTGCCGTAGTCTGTCTCACCTATCTACACAGCTCTCAGCTAATGAGGTTACCAGTCATGTCCATCCAATAATCCCTTCCCGAAGAGCATGGCTTCATGCCTATGCCTCTAGTCTCCACTTCTGGCCCCTCCCTGATTTGTAAACATACCTTATAAAATTATAGAGGACTTACATGCTTTTACTAACTCCTAATTTAGAAAACAACTTACAGAAAGCATGCAACAAGTTACACAGTAACATGTATTGTAGGTAGTATATAGCATTACTTTTGTTTTCTCCACCTGGAGATCAGTAAAAAAAAATTAGCTTATGCAGTTAGAAAAAAAAATAGCTTACACAAATTTTGTATGGGAATCAATAACTTGCCAGTTTAGTTTCATTAGACTATTGAAAGGCATAGGAGGCCTTAAGAACACCACTCTTCGTTTTTTATATTTACATCTTTAATCTTTACAAGATTTTTCTATAAATGTGAAAAATAAAATGTAATCATAAGACTGGTATGTATTTTTAAATGGTTGACTTTGAGCTCTAATGAATTCCTAGATCAAAAAATATCTAGTATGACATTTTTATCAATGGCTGTAGCTTCACTATTCTGGGGAGTGCAAGACTCAACTTTTGAAAGTTTATTAAGTTAGTGTCTCTGAAGAGAAGTTGTGTTTACTTCTTTTGCAGTTTAAATATTCTCATACTATTCCCTATACATGTACCTAAAGTTGAATGAAAATATAAAATATTCAAAGTGAAAAAGCAGGCCCTTCCAATTATAGAAAACTTCTGTAGAAACCCTGGATAGGGCACGCTTCTTGTGGACCAGTGGTCACTTGGTCTTACCTACTTACTGTTCCATTTCAAGTGACCAGTTCTGCAAGGGTCCCAACCAACACCGACACCCCTCTAGCTTTCCTCCCCATGCTCTGGCTTCTCTACTGACTTACTGGCAAAAGAAGGTGGCACTCACACAGATAAATGCTTCCTCCCCCTTTTCTTTTCTTTCTCCCTCTGATCCTTCAAGATTCTGTGATACTTCAACTCACCACCTCAAGCAATCCCTAAAAACTGGCCTCTATGACTAACCAACTTATCTACCCTATCACTTTCTATCAAACACCTGTAATGAAGCCTTTGCTTCAGGCTCTGCCTTCTGGAGAAGCCATTCTAAAACAAAGTACCTATTAGTAAGTAGGTTAATCAAGTACTGACTAGCCATACACTTAGGTGACTTAATTTAATGAAAAAACACCCTTAAGAAAGGGTTTGCTTTTATTTTTCAAAAAACAAAAACCAAGTTTTCCAATGAGTTGCCTTATCTTTCTTCAGAACACAAATATTGAATAGTAACTTTTAAAAATAAAAGGGCCATTTAATCTAGAAATTACTCTTAGATAGTATACATTCCCATCATGATTGCTGAAAAAAATGGCAGAGAGCACTAGCTTTAAAACCTCTCAGCTAGGTTCAAAATCCAAATCCTACCACTTAGTTGCATGACTTTAATTAAATTAAATTACTTGGCCTGTCTCAGTTTATTACATATATATAAAGTAGGGAAAAGAACAGTACCTGCCCCATAATTTATAAATTCCAGGTGGTTTTTAGTTGCACACACTAGAATTCTGACTCGATAAAAACCATCACTTATTTTCTTCACAAGTTCACTAAGTTCCTCTTAAGATTTATATGCTATATACTAGGTTAACCCTGGAACCAAAGAATCACAAGCAAAATCAACAGACAAAATTTAATATATGCACACAGTTTCGTATATAATGCAGCATCACACCATGTAGGGCATTTACTCTGATACATTCAGATATGTTTGAAACACTTCTTAAGGCTACAAAACAGAACATAGAAAAATAAACAGGAATATATGCAACACTTACAAAAAGTGATATGATAAAGAATATAAAGTACTATTTTCCTTTCAACACTTCAAAAGATATTTATATATAGTTTTTTTTACAAGTAACATCACAAATGATCACATCTTCACATGCTTTTAAAGTATTATTTGTACTCAGTATAAGGCTATTATTTTTCATACTTAAATTTTTTTCTATCTCTGTAACAATGCAATTTTAATCCATTCAAGTAAATTCAACACCAAAGTTGCTGTTCCCCAGCATTAAGACATGCACTCTCCCCTTTTCTAGGATTTTCTAAAACTTATTTGAGGGGGGGGGGGGGGGCGGGGGCGGGGGGGACGGGAATCCCAATTAGTGGGAAAGTAAAATGGCTGACTCTAGTAGTAAAACCTTAGTTCTTTGAGACTGACATGCTGGAACTGAGCCATTATTAAGGTTTTAAACAAGAAGCAAAATATAGTAAACAGAAATAGTGTAGCCAAATATGCATTCTCTTCAGCTACACCAAAATGGACCTTGCTTAGTACCCACAAGTGAAAGACTACAATTCCCTCATCTAAAACTGAAGGTAAAATAAATGAGACATAAATAAATATTGCTAGTTTCTAGGATGGCTGAATGTTTTCTAAACCAGAAATGGTTAGAAAAGAACTTTATTGCACCAAGTCAATCATAAGCAAGTTTGCAGTTCACAGGCATTTTAATTCAATCTTCAGTCACAAAGGAAACATAATGCAAAATATACAGTTTGCATCAACTAAGCACTGTGGTTTGGGAAAACCTACTCCTGCCAGATCAAGGCAGGGTCTTAGCTCAAGTCAGCATGAAAATGAATATATGGGTTACCAGGAAACAGGATGAGAATTACACAGATGCTAGCATCCTGCTGCCAAGGAGTACATGGAACAACAGGAAGATTTTATCTGAGAAGAACTTGAAGAAAAATATACCCAATACTAAAAAGGAAAAAATCAAGTTTAGCAAAAGCCAAAAGAAGTGACCTTTGGTCATTCTAAACATTTGTTCTTTAAAATGTATATGATCCTAATACAGTGAAGTTCCATAATTTCCAACTCAAAATACAAATGATTCTCACTTCTAAGCATTAGTTTCTCTTATATGGAAACATTGTATGATAAACATTGTATCTCATGTCAACATACCATATGACTCAGTCAAAATGAAGGACAAAAGCTTGCTTGGTTCGACCTCAGCATAAGGCAAATCCCCTGAATACATTTAAAACAAACCTAAAAAAAAAACAAAACTGACCTTCATGCAGAG